ACGAATGAAAATAAAATTAACAAATGCGAGTTCAAGAGTTACAACTAATTTGCATAGGGGAGGTAGCTACACAAATACTTTAGCACGGATAGAATCCGTTTGCACGTTCAAACTCGGTGTTAATTGTTTGATGTAAAGCATCTCGTTGACAAGACAATCGAATTTGTTCATGCACTTCTTGAGAACTTTGAAACAGCTAAGAAGGTCCTCAGGGACAGCACCTGCGTGGTCGTTGTCGTAGTGCTTGCGTACTGAAGATGAAGTGCTCTTATGGCTATCCACGCGGGCATATAAATGCCCGCGTATGTAACCAACATAGCTCCCTGTATCGCACAGGTTACATTTAAATTGGTACCCTACGCACTGTTGATTAACCAGCTGTGGTTTGGTTTCACATTCTTTAAGGTCTTGGCCAATTTTCCCACTGACAAATATGGGCTGGATTGTGGCTTGGAGCTTAATGCTAAGGTATTTCAACTGCGTCTTAAGATCTTAACAATGTTAGCGGAGTCTTGGTCCTTGAAGGGTATGACTACTCGGGTTACATCATTTTTCGCCAATCTTCCCAACGCCTACAATGGCTGCTGGTCAGCAACTCTCAAGTTAATAAAGGTGTTAATGCTGCATTTGTTAATTTTATTTTCATTTGTACCCTTGATAATGGTGTCATGAAGTTGCCGAAACGTCGGGATATTATATCGCTCGTTTTTACCTGTCTATGTGTTTCTTAATTTTTTACTTTAATCCCGCTTTTGATTAAAAGCTATCTTTGAAATAATTATATTTCTGTGTGTTACTTCATAAATTGGAAGGTTGGTTAAAAACAGGGCATGTTATCCAACTTTAAAATTCAATTTCTTTACGTTAAATCATTTCCCCCAAAAGTCCTTTGGAGATGTAAAAGCACGATTACTCGGCTTTCAAAATCCAGATTTTTCGACGTATTTCATTCAGTACCACATACTTAGATTAAAGGTTATTTTTTAGTGAGTTTTCATCTTAATAAAAGAGGGTTCGCAGAATTTAATTATATTTTCAAAGAAAATGGAAGAGAATTGCTCAAATTCTTTTAAACATATATTTTGGCATCATTCTACAAGATTCAGTAGATTTCATTTCTTTAGAGTGTGTTGTTTCGTTAAGCGAAGCCTTCTTTTACGCCCAAAATTTAAAACTCAAATTGTGCCAAATTCTCAGGATTCGGTTATGATCGATTTTCTCGAAAACTGATCGATATTTAGCCAAACAAATGATGCAGCGTTTTCTTTTACATTAAGGCTACCTAACCTGAGAATATGGGCCAAATTGAATTTTGAGCTGTTGCCACGAAATGTTTGACCGATGGTAACATTTGCTCTTAAATACTTATTTTCCCAAACTATCTAAAATCAAAACTACCAAAAATTGTTACTGTGTAAAATCACATTCAACTTTGCTAGTTGCTAATTACAACAACTACGTAAGCCAACAGTAACAATAATGGAGTTCGTCTCAATAAATCGATAATTCGTGATAATTCTAACATATTTGTTTACATATATATCTTTTTTCAGGAGAGGACAACGGTCTCTGAATAAATATACAGGTCTCGCAACATTTCAGTCAAATTTCACGGTCTTGCAGTCTATTTTTTGAGCGGTCTCGAATTTTTTGCAAAGCCGTGGTCTGGCACCTCAAAACGTCTCCGTCACGCAGACATGACGCTGGTCTCGCCGTCTCCCAAAGTCTCGCACATACCATTCGCCACCTAGTCCGCGTTTAACTTTTTTTGTAAACATGGAGGTGGTATCAGAAAATCGCTCTGCTCCGAAAAAGCGGTCATTAGATAAATATAATGAAAAGATAACTTACAAAAGATTATTGCCCGCGGGATCTTTCTCTGGCGAGGAAGAATTCTCAATCGGCTCCGAACGCGTGGACGGAGTTGGCGGGTTGGTGGGTCCAACGTCTGATTCCTCACTAAAAAGAAAACAAAGTCAGTCAAAAATTAAAAGACAGCCAAGTTCTTTAACAAAATTTGTAAACTTACCTTGTACTGTCGTCCATTGTATCTGTTCAGCACGCGGTGAGGACGGTCCAGGAACGGTGTCATATAATCATTCAACTTATTAACTTTATTGATTTGGATTCTTAAAATTTCCCAAATCGAAGTTTAACTCGAAGTCCAACTCGAAGTCCAACTCGAAGTCCAACTCGAACTCGAACTCGAATTCAAACTGGATGGTTCGGGATTCCCTTTCTTGCTAATCCTTATTTATTGAATTTCGTTTACGGGAAAGATGATTCCACCAAAAGCTACCTCGCTCCCAGCATGTGGCTTCTAACTTTGTTTGTAATAGGGCCAAATTAGCATCTGAGTTGTACGAGTTCCAATGCTACCAAAGCCTGAAATTTACCAGGCATTTTTTCTGTAATTGCTTCGAACGCAGCTCACACCTGTAAGATTTATTCCTCTCTTGAATTATCCAATCCATTCGTGTCTTACGATTTCCACCATAAATGGCATAAAAGTCCCATGAAAACCGATATCGCACGAATCGTGAAGCGATGAGTGCGATATCGGTTTTCAAGTGAAATTTAACGCAGAATTCACCAGTCAAGTAAAAATTTTCCTTGAATCGCATGGAAATGAAATTGAAAATGAAAATGAAGAGAAGAAGAAAACAGCATTAAGTATACGTAGATGCGAAACAATATTACTTAGCCTCGTATTCAACTCGCAGTTCCACGCTTGATAATATACATGCAAAAATTACTCAGTTCTAATTCGTTAAGATAAATGCAGTTTTCAGGTAATTCAATGCAGGAGAGAGTTAATTCAGTGCAGAAGAGATTTAATTCAGTGCAAAGAAAGTAACAAACCAGACACTCCGATTGGTCAATAATCAAAGAAACTCACAGAATTATCAAACTCACTGAACAATTCCTTAAACTGTTTGGCCGGACTTTGAACTTCTGTGCGCCTTAAAGTTGTGAAAATTTCATTTTATCTTATTGTTTTGATCATACGCGGTTGTTTTGACCGAACGCACAATGTCACTTGGAGAGTTTGGATGAGCTGAATTACGCATGCTTGTGGATTGTTTGTTACTAATCATCTATTGGCGGACAGACGCATAAATGACGAGACCATTAACAATATTTTGCTTTTTTATCAGACGAAAAAAAATAGATTTCATGTTACTCTGGGTCTGTTTAGTACCAAGTGACAGAACATGACAAAATTTGGCCGTAAGTAACATCAGTGACACCCTCGGCTGCCTCTCGTGTGCGGCTTTCAGGTTCTTACGACATTTGACGTCATCTGTGATTCATTACCCCACAGATGCAATACAATATTTGTTGATGTGCTTAAAGTTTGTGAATCAGTTTTCATCAGCTACATCATATGATGTTATCTTTCTCTGATGCAACGATAAATATGCCATGAAACGTAAAATTTGGTTCGAAGGTGTGTTCTGAACGTTAGATCATTTGATGCAGAGCACCTGTGGCTTATGCTAATAAAAATAAATAGATAAGTGTACTCATACATAAATACATATTACTTTAAGTGAGGTAAGTCTGTTAAGGGCTCACGTGGACCTGCCATGAAATTCCTATAAAACGCTAAAATTAAAACTATTTAAAATTAACGTTCTTGAAACAATTGAAAACAAGGATGTCCTAAAACTATTAAAAGTATAAACAGGCCTCTTTCACGAATCGTATTTGGTCAAATGCTCTAGGGGCAAATTTAAGTTTTCCTTGAGGAGATGTAGCATCTCTGATGAATTATGGGATTGAATTCCACACGACAGGACCCCTATAGCTTACAATATTCAATTCTTCCGAGTTCACCCGCATGATATCGAACTTGCGAAAAGTCATTCAGGTTCATGCGCCTCAAATTTTAAGTATTATAATTATTACGAGTTCCAAGTAGGGCCGTAAGTTGTTCCGGTAAGCTTTTGTTGTACACCTGCCATTATCGAGGTGAGCCTAGCCTGCGCTCATAGATATAACTTAATGGCTTCCCAGGGCTCGAGATTGAAAAAAAATTCCAAGTCGCCTTTTAGCGACTATCAGAGAACAAATGGTCGCCAAGTGCAAAAGTGCAGTCGCCAGATAGTACAAGAACAGAAATCAGATTAGAGCCTTATTCAATTGGCGTTGTTGTTCGGCTTCTGGTGGATTGTGGCTGCGATTGTGAGGTAGACCGAAATATTCGATCTTGAATGACTTAAAACATGAAAACACAAAAGAAGAAACTCCTAAAGACTTTTGCATGACAATCTTACCTTAAGCAGTAAGCGAAAAAAGTAATAAGAACATTTCAGGTCTACTTTAGCAAGGAAAATATGTCACATCGCATGCAAGCATTTAGTACCAGTCCTCCTCTTCTCAACGGATTAATTTTAAATTCAGAAGCTTTTCAACAAAATATTGCGCCCGCGACCACCATGAAGAAGCCACTGTAATATGTCGTCTCGGAAGACGCAATTTGAAAGCCATTTCAAGTTTTAGCTTGAAGGTAAACAGAATTAATTTGCATTTCCTTCGGCAGAAAAGCAGAAACGCAGAAACGAGACTTAAGAAATTTTTCTCATTTACATATTTACATTTCTCATTTACTTATTCATCAGAGGAAGTTAGTTTAGTCGCAAAAGTGGCGACTAAACTCGAACTTTTAGTCGCCGAGTTAAAAGTTTTAGTCGCATTAGCGACCGTATCGGTCGCAATTTCGAGCCCTGCTTCCATTTAGCAGTTTTAATAAGGTCGTCAGAATTTAGGAGTTCCGCTGGGTATTCTAAGGATTAGTTTAGCTACTTAGAAGTGCAAATGCTCCAGGTCATTGAATAGAGACAGTGAACCAATGAGCGCGCGTTGGATATGAGATGATAGATAGCCAACGAGGCGCGTAGCGCCGAGTTGGCTATAATCATCTCATATCCAACAAGCGCGAGTGGAATAATTGTTTTATTAAAAAAAAAAACGCCCCCAAGATATTAGACAAATCTTCTCGGCTTTATTTTGTAAGAAGAAACTGGATGTTACGATGTACAGATATTAGATTATGGTAAATTGGCTCATAGTGGCTAAGCCAATTAAAAGTCTTGAATTGTATTCTCCAATGATCCAGTTTTAATAATTGCCATGAGGAGGTTTTTAAATTCCACAAAACACAGTCTTTGAACACTGACTGTTAGACAATTAGTCTAATTAATCTTGTCAAACGAGTGACATTACCATATGTAAATAATAGTTGAGGTTGGGAGGGGGAGGAGATTACGTGCACTAGTGCCTTCAATTTCCCAGAATAGAAGGAACTTGCGAAAGTCTACACCAAGAGGATCAAATTCGAATAGCGGAAAAATGGCTCCATCGCAAAGTACTTCGCGATTACAACTGCGAGAGGAGAATCTCGAAAAAAATATCTCACACTGCAAACTCTTAGTGGAGAATGCTACAACGCGAAACTTTGTCGATCTCCTGTTAGTGATCATAATTCTTGTGCTACTCGGCGTCGCCGCGCCTATCATCCGTGGAGATTATTGCGGTAAGTTCTTAGAACAGTAGTTTACGAGTAACGAGACGATCTTAGCAGGTAAGCTGCATTTAAAGCAGCCAGAAAAAATCCAGGCTTTGCCGGCTCATTCAAAGCCTGCAGTTTTTTTCTGTCTTCTTTTCTGCAAATGCTTTAATTGAAGCTTAATAGCGAAGATCGTTTCATTACTGGGTCAAAATATTATTTAATTCACTAAGGGTACTCTAGAACTTATTAAGGTTGAGCAAGTTTTCGTTTTATGTACAGCTTCCGCAATTTCTGAATACAGACATCATCTATGCTATTATAAGTCTATTAATGGTTATAAATTATCTTTGTAAACACCGGCTGCGTTGGTCAGACCTGTGTCAGTTTTATAGAGTACAGCTAATATCTTCCAATCTACTGAGCGCTCTCCGGAATTGAAGCCTTTGTATTTACCTTATTACATTACAATGTTAAGATAACTTTTGATTATTGATTTCTTGTTGGATTTCATGAAGTTCGTCTTCGTGACGCTACTGAATTTATCAACATTACTCGCTGCTCATCTGCTGTGTCTTCGCAATCAGCTCATTCCAGACTATGACTCTGTACTTCTGTTATGAAATATTTAGTCAGTTAAGCATGATTTAGTCAGTAGCTTATATACTTAGCATTTCGTTACTTTTTGCATTCAAGTCCGAATTTTTTAGTTTTAAACTATCTCGACGAGCTTCCAAATTGTGGTTCTTGTTTTCGTTTACGCAGTCAGAGACTGCTTCGGTTGATTGGAAGTAACAAAATGGGTTGTTGTTCATTTGTGAGATTCTTCTAAAAGTGTCTGGGTTAGTGTTCCAACAACAAATGTTGGATCTTCCAAGGTCAGTTGGCCAGCATGTCTGTTCAGATTTTTTCAGATTTCCTTGAAATCCTGAGAATGAATGAAAATGAATGAATGAAAAACTTTATTTAAGTGTCTGTGTTTTTAGCTATAAGCTAATGGGGGACACTAAAAAATTTAAAAGTCACCTACATTTACATATGTAGATGTAGTTATTTACAGTAGATAATTAAAAAGATTATAAAGTTGTTTAGTTAAGTTTTAAATTTCAACGAGAGTTGAAAGGTCGACTTTTCTTATGTTCTTCTTGAACGAATTTAGAGTTTCTATCGTTCTTAGGTGTCTTGGTAACTTCGACCAGATGAGAGGTCCCATATATTTAATAGAATTCCTACCAAATCTTACAGTTTCGAATCTTGGCAGTTCAAAGTCACTGTTCCGTAAATTATATTGAGTGTTCTTTATATTAAATAAGTCAGAAATATTCTCAGGTACGAGACTGTGCTTAACTTTAAACATCAAAGTGGCAATGTCTTGTAGGCGCCGATTGTTCAACGTCGGTAGTTTGGCGCGACTTAGCAGTTCTTGATAGGACGCTGATCTAGTTTTGTACACCGCCCTAAGTGCTCGCTCCTGAATCCGCTCAAGCTTTCTCCGATCCGATGCATTACAAAAGTGCCATACTAAATGACAGTAGGTTAGATGGGGCAGAATTGAAGACCTGTAAAGTGATAGTTTAGCATTACAGGGTATCAAATTGCGTAGCCGCACTAGGACCCCTACTTTTTGACTGGCCTTAGAGCATAGATCACTGATATGACTAGTAAAACTCAATTTTTCATCTATTTGAACTCCTAAAAGCCGTATTTCCCCCATTCTGTTAATAGTATGACCATCAACAGAAAAATTTTGATTATCGTTGTCTTTGTCAACATTTCTCGGGTTGATCGTTAATAGCTGGAACTTTTCTGGGTTGGTTGAGAGATAGTTGTTCTTGTACCAGGATAGAGCTTTCTCTCCATGTATCTTGATACTTTGCGCGACAACGTCATGCTTCTTCCCCGTGACATACATCTGATGGTCGTCGGCATACATGCTCAAATTAGCATTATTTATATGAAATGACATATCATTTTGGAACAAATTCCACAGAAGGGGGCCAAAGGACGAGCCTTGCGGGCAGCCAAGCACCATCCTTTTCCAGTCACTTGTCACTCCTTTTATTTTCACTCTATTGAGCCTATTGTCAAAGTATGATCTAAGAAGGTTGAGAGAATTTTGTCCAATGCCATAGGCCTCGAGTTTCTTTACGATTAGAGAATGGCTAAGAGAGTCAAAGGCTTTACTCAAGTCAGTAGACAGTATGTACACCAGTTCCTTTCTGTCAACAGCTGATTTCCAGTCTTCCACGAGTCTAAGTAGAGTGGTCTGACAGCTATGATGTCTTCTATAAGCTGTCATTCTCTGATAGAGAGTTGGATCATAGTGCCCGGTGATTTGCTTACTGAGCATATGCTCAAATGTCTTATTTACGGTAACAAGGGACGTGATGGGACGATAGTTCTTCGCCAGTTGTCTGTCACCTTTTTTAAACACTGGCGTCCACTCTCCCATTTTCCACGCACAAGGCCATCGCCCCAGCTCGATACAGCTGTTGTAGAGAGTCATTAGCGATGGGGCAATTCCACAGGCCACGTTCTTAAGGAGTTTAGGCGGTGCTCCGGGGTCCCACCCACAGGACTTATTGGGGTTGATATTTTCAAGCGCCTTTTGCACTTGATCCTTGCTGACGCGATTGAACTCGAAGTGCGTTCCTTGGTATGCTTCTCTTAGAGCTTTAACGCTGCCATGGTTGTCATGGTTCTCTTCTGTGATGCAAATAGCATTGTCTCCTACAATGCTAACAGCAGCTGTGGTGAAATAGTTCACTAATTGCTCAGCTACCTCGCATTGATCTTTTACAATGATGCCCTCTTCTGTTTTTAAACTGATTAAGGTGGACTCCTTAGTTTTGCTATTAATAAATGGCCTAAAGGCGTTGTAAAACTCCCTTGGCTTGGATTTNTAAAGAACAATCCCCATTACTAAATGGCAAGGAGCATAGCGAGCATTTCCAGTCCATGACCTGCTTATCTGAGTAGCTTTTAAACATCGCTTTTGTCAAGTTCAGGCATTTAGTGTGCGAGAAGGAATTACACTAAACACACAGTAGGGAATCTTGATTGGAACCCACGCATTCGCCACACTCTTTGCAGGGATGTTTGGACATTTTCGTTGTAGGTCTGGGGTTTGAGTGGATGTCTCCTCCAGTTATGAGTCGGTAGATGTGGAAGCTACTTGTGCCGTTCGAAGTGTGAGAAAATCTCGTAGACAAGTATATTTTTCCATGGCCGCGGCTTGGAGTGGTCTTGCGAGAATTCAGTAAGCTTGTGTTGGCTACGACTAGCGACCAGTGTTCCATTGCGGCTGAAGCGTCTCTTCGTAGAATAAGAGAACTAGTGTTGACATTTCCATGAAGGAATAAGGTAGTCATAAGCAGCAAAATTGCTAGTTCCATGGAGCTCAAAGATTGGTGTCCGGCCGCCATTTTGTCCGCTCCCAACTTGAAATCATCATGTAACTGGTCAACTTGACATGCTATCAAAATTCACGAAACCGTTACTTGACAACTAACCATGATACCTTTTAGAGTTGTCGCGTGCACTTTTGCGCTTTCTTTTCGACAACCTTTCTTAAAACATCGTTGTGAAATTCTATTTATCGAAGCCAAGAAAGTATTACTTAACGCCATATTAACCATGTAAGGGAAAAACTCCAACTAACTTCTACTTTCAACACTCTACTGCGAAAACTTCAAAACTAGTTTCGTCTACGACCTCAATTGTATGTTTATATGTATGTAAAACAGCTGTATGTATATATATAGAGAGAGATCTATCACTGTGACAGTGAGAGTCAGTCGATCAGGGTTTCCCAAAGTGAAGTGTTTTTGCTGAAAGCAGAATTATATTAGAGAACCAAGAGATCAAAGAAGACTGAAAAAGATAGATCTAGAGTCCTTAATGCCTTTCGCCGAGCGTGGTGCGGTCTGCACCTAGTTTCACCAGGGACTGCTCGTACTCTATTGTAATCAATCTGCCCAGTAAATTCTGCGTAAAAATTACTCATTTTTATTGCTCATTTTTCATTAGCCAAAAAACAGAAATTATTCAGGGAAAGTTAGAAATCGAAAAAACAGATCACGAAAAAAAAACTAACTTTCATTTAACCACGTATCACTTCTTAATTCTTTTATTGTAACATTTTCTAAATTCTGGTCATTTACTTTCGAAATCATGGATTTATTAATTAATTTTGTATTTTTCTCGTGTTTCTCGGTTTTTCTATGTTTCGTATCTTTTGCTTTTAGTTTAATCTTCGACAACTAAAGCTAATTTACTTCCGTAAGAAACTGAAGTTTTGTGCCAAGACTCTCTCTGAAAGGAGATAATCATCAAAAGGAAATTATCATCTTGGTCCACAGTACATGTTTGTTCTTTTATTAATGTCACGACATCAACTGCACAGTTCCGCATCACTCAAAACGGAAAAACTATAACGAGAAAGGTGGATTGGATCGACAAAAATGGCTCCTTCAAAAACGACTTGCCATATATACAACGAGAAAGATCAAGGAGATGAATTAGATCTCAAGAATCTAGCAGGGAGTACTACGGCTAGGAATATTATCGATTTACTTCTAGTGATCATAATTCTTGTGTTACTCAGCGTTGCTGCGCCATTAATCCGAGGAGATTACTGTGGTAAGTTTAATATTTTATTTTATTCACTTGTGATGTTTCATCATCCTAAACTGGGGACCATGACGCGAAACAAGACAGCGACGGCAACGAGAAAGAGTTGAAACGAAACAGTAACTGTACGAACTCATAACTCTGCACATGCGTTTTGAAATTTTTTTCTTTTTCTGGGTGTTCTTTGCAAATGTGTCGTCTGCGTATGAGAACATCGATAGCAAATTATCATGTTACGTTTTCACATAGCACTCGATGACACCGTTACATGTAGGACCGAAGAAGAGGTTTCACACAATTTGGCAAGGAAACAATAGCGAACCTCGTGATATTCATGAAAAAAATGTATGTTTATTTTAGAATTAATGCTTTCCTCACCGAAGTTGTCATAATTGTGAAGGGTCCCAAACAATTTGAGTCGATATCATAAAATTCGGTATTTAGTTAGAACTGACATAATATTTCATAGGCAGTGTTTGGGCACGTGTACTGTGTGTGTCTTTCAAACGCCGAGGAAAAAATCATGGCAAAATTATTTTCGCTGTTGGAATGTCATATGATCTCCTTTAAAGATAAGTTTGAAGAATGCTTTCTCCGGTCAAGATTAACGCCATTTTAATTTGATATCAACAATTTAGATCGGGACATCTATGATATCATCTATGATAAATTGTCATGTACCTCAAATTCAAAATCCTGGACGGGGGATTTGGGATTTTCGGTTTTGCTGTTTTGACTGTTTTTTGGATTGGTTTTTCGGTTTTTGGACCAAAAAAGTTCGGTTTTTTGGCTTTGATGTTCAGAGCAGTTTGCAGATTTTAAGTGTTTTTGCTTTCGGTTTCCGGTTTTCACAAAAATTCTGATACGGTTTTCGGTTTTTCGTTTTTTGACCCCTTAAAGGTGAAAACGTAGCGGTTTTGTCAGGTTTGCATGCGGTTTTCGGGTTTTGCTGCCTTTTTTCGTCGGTTTTTCGGTTTTGGGGTTTTTTTTCCTCCGGTTTTGCGGTTTCCCAGAGGCCCCAATGCCTCCCTCATCCTGCGTTCTAGTTGGTCGTTGGGCTTAGTCGGTTTTGGCTTCATGACCCTGAATCGGAAAGAGTCCAGACACAGAAGCTGTCATGCTGCTTCGTCTCGTATTACTCAGTAGCCGAGTTATTCGCTTTATTCAAAGAGAAAGGTGATGTCGTCAAGGTTAGTAGCGACGGAAATACCTTCATCTACGACAAGTTGTCATCTATGATATTAGGCGTCTTGAAAAGCGTGCTCAAAGGTCAAGCTAGTGTGTGTTTCTTACGCAAATCACTTCTTCACATCAATATATCTGATGTATTCAGCTGTTTATCTTTTTATTCATTTGACTGTCTTTTATTTATCTCTTGAAATCCCGCGTAGATGAATATAAACCACTTCGTGAAGGGTGAAGTAAACAACTCAGGCTTTATTTCCGGAATGAGAAACTCTATCGTTTTATAATCGCTTTTCAAAAAGATCACGAAGGCCGACCAGACGGTCGCCAGGGAGCGGAGATTGCGAATTTGTCCTCTAATCCCTTTGTTGCTTCGCTTGTTATGGGACAATAAATTTGAAACTTCAGCACTCCCCCTCCCCAGGTAACCCTCGAGCATTTGACTGTCATCTATGCCTGGGGTTTGGACATTTAAATCTTGCCTGAGGGATGGGAATTTGAACCGCAACTCTCTGACCTTTCTAACAGAATAAAGGTAGTTTGGAAAACATCGAATGCTGGAATTCCGTGCCGGAATACCCGGAATGCCCGGAATTCCCGGAATGACCAAAAAATGACAAATTGAAAAAAAAAAATTACCTAATAATTAAAAATAATACGATGGAATAAATAATTAAAAAATAATTAATTAAAAGAGTAAAAATAAAGTGAAAATAAAAATTAAAAAGAAAAAAAAGAAAATCAGTTCTCCATAAGTAAAACAAAAAAAATTAAAAATTTTCTCTCGATAAAATGCAGAGACCACGTGACGTAAAAAAATAACTACCTATGGAACTGTTCACGGAGATCCACATACTAGAACTACATGTAGCTTACAGCCTACAATATACAAACTGATACTGAAGATTGCTTCAAGGTAAATAAACCAGAAGTGTGATTTATTATTGACAGACCTCAAGCACTGTGGGTTCTAATTGGAAAAGGGGATGTAAATACGATAAGTACTTGGCGAGCAAACCCAAAGTGCGACCGCACTTAAAATCTGTCAGCACAAGCATTTTCTAATGCCACCCAATTTTTGCGATTTTTTATAGATTGTGATAAAAGTAATTTATTGACTACTATGATTGAGATTAGATTTTTTGATAGATTCAGACATAAACGTTTTTTTTCACATTTAACTTCAGACATAAAGTTGTTTTCTTTTCAGTGCCTTATTAGATGGTCTCCACGAACATAAATTCATCGCCTGTCGTGACAATGTCATTAATTCATTGTATGTCTTGGTCAAATCCCGGATGTCAAATCCATACGAACGCGTCTTAAACATTTCATGAACCTACCAGAAATTTCTGATGTACTTGACTTCCGAGTTCTTTCTGAAACGTGCATGAATGGGCTTCACGTCAATATCGAAGGCACTGTAGAGTGATAATTAGTTAATTGAGACATGACTCAAGAGGTAACCACATGGGGGTACTTATGATAAAAAAAAAATTGATTTGATGAGAAAAAAAGGAGTATGGTAGCAAGCCTTCGATCTTCCTTTTCTTATCGGACTAGGGAATTGAATCAGGGGCAAGCGACCTTTTTCCATTGGAACTATTTCATTTGCCACAAACTGTTACAACAAAAAAAGTTGCTCTTGTCTAGAAAGGAAAGAAATCATGTTCTGTCTTGTGTGATAGCGACACACTGATTTCACTTTTTGTTATTGTTCTGTCTGGAAATATCTTTTAAGCTAATCCACGTTTGTGTATTAAAGGTGTGCCGAAGAGATAAGAGACTCGGGGAGACTACAATTACTGCCTCTGAATATGACGCTTTGTTCCCGTAGTTTTAACAATCGATAATTGCTGTTTTAGGGCACGGCATTAGCATATATTGGTGGATTAAATCTTTTCCGATGAGTACTCTTGTATCCATTTGCTTTTCACTTGTGATAGCTTCTAACAATAAGTGCTGTGCAAGCTATTTCCAAACATTTCCAAATTATTGTGCGAACTGTCGTGCAATACGTATTCACTAAGCAGCGGGCTTAACAGACACATCAGTAAGAGCTAAGGTAAATATGAAGGCTTGAGGAATTATTTGCGAATTACAGGAGTCGCGTAGACCCACCAACACCTTTTAAAGTGTATGTGGACAGGCCTCACCTGAATGAGATAACTGAGCTTTCCAGAAAGACTCTCCCCTAGCGGCCTAAACATATCTTTTCAACATNATTTAAGGTAGAGTATTAATTTGTAATAGTTCGGAGATTTTTAAAATTGAAACTATTAAACTAATTGGAAATTTTGAATTTTTTTAATCTTCTGCAATGGCTCCGGCTGGAAAAGTGTGCCGGCTTAATGGTCATTGCGCCCTAGACATCCTACAGGTGTGTAAATGAGTGGAGGCGAATTTAAAACGGGGAGTAACCATGTGATGGACTAGCATCCCATCCAGGGAGAGGGGAGAGCACAAATATTTCGTCGCTTAGGCTGTATGGGCTACTGGCCTGACGCAGACTTTTTTTAATTCTAATACGTGCATCTCCATGAACAGTTCCGGTAAGTGTTTTTTCAGTTTACGGGACCCTCAGAAACCCCCAGAGTTAAATTTCGCATTAAATTATTTGATTAAGTTGTGAATTTGCCCTTAATTTTTAATCATCAATATTCTTATTTATTTACTTATTTATTTATTCATTTACTTTTATTTTTTTTAATTTATTATTTTTTGGTCATTCCGGGAATTCTGGGTATTCCGGCACGGAATTCCGGCATTCCTTGTTTTCCAAACTACCCAGAATAAATGTGTTTGTAATCCGTCTTTCCGGGCACATGACAGAAATCTTCATGAAAATGTCGTTTTACCACTTTTTTTCTTTATGATTTACATTTCTGAGTACTAAGTATTTTGTGATTTTCACTCACGGCCAAAGTTAACAACGTTGAAGCTTCATAACTGACAGCGACCACTTTAAGAGTCCGAGATCCGAGTCATGCTCGTCTAAGGATGGGTAGCCAATCCCCCTCTTAGTTTCTTTCCTCTGTGTTCAGCCGGTTCGTTTGTTTTAATTTCTCTTCACCACTAAACGGGCTGGTGTACTGTTAGGTTGGTTATTGACACGCCAGGGTGACGATGTGATTTGAAATTAAGTTTTATAATCGTTCATCTGTTCTGATTGGCCGTTCAGCTTAGTCGGTTTTGACTTCAGGACATTTAATCGAGTTCACACAAAGAAGCTGTCCTATTGCACCGTCTCGCTATGGAGTATTAATAACTGTGTTATTCGCTTTATTCAAAGAAAGAAGTAATGACGTCAGGATCACTGGCGACGGAAATACCTCCAAGTGCTTTGTAAACTCATCTTGTATGACATTGACTGGAAATAATCACAGTGGCAGCTGTCATTGTCATGTTGGTTTTAAGTGGGATGGCCATGTTTGTTCAGGTAATGTTTGCATGGGGGACCTTAATTTGTTTGATGGCAATGGGAATTGGGGATTATCTCCATATATGAGAGTGCAAACCATGGAGTTAGTCTTTGTTATTACCATTCACACCAAAGCTTAAACATGTTTTGAAGGCGTTTTGTTAAACACGACTGAAAATTGATTTCTTCTTAAGCTGCTTAAACTGATGTTTGCCAACTTTAAATTTAACCCTGACTTAGAAAATAAGAAGGTAGTGTGACTACTTGAAAAATATGGAAATCTCAGTTTTTCGGTTGCTTTCATTTAACAGTCTTAATCATGATAATGAGCAAAAAAAGGAACAAACAGAATGGATCCAAATATCCCGTAAAAAGAACACCGAATACGTAGAATAAAAGTAAATGCATGAAACAACAAAACTATCTTTTCTTTGCAGATATCGATGAGTGTGCATCTGGAAACCATTCATGCCCAACGAATAGTAGCTGCAAAAATATCTTTGGATCATATATTTGCGAATGCTCCCACGGTTACGCGGAAAAACGACATTGCATCGACCTAGACGAATGCAAACTCGAACTTCACGAGTGTGATAAACATGCTGACTGCACCAACACCATGGGCTCGTATAACTGCACTTGCCAAGCTGGTTTTTATGGAGACGGACGTTCTTGTAGAAGTATATAAGTGAAGTCGATACTTGCTTATCCATTACACCATAGTACCATATACTTTTCTGGTTGATTACAGAAGGATCCTACGTGCTATTTATTGTAGTAGCCATTCTGAATTGAACCCCAGCAGAAACGAACAACAGCAGAAACAGCAACAGAAGAACTTATAAAGTGAAACTAATTTGAAAACTTTTATTATTTTGCTGTTGCTTGCCAAGTTCAAGTAAGCTAAGTGTGGGTATGTCATTTATATCGCGTCTTCAATTAGATTTATGTATGATTTAAAATGATACTTTCGCATTTAAAGGTACGGACTTGCGATAAAATGACAACTGACCGCAAACATTCTCACTGAAAAATAGATCACCTTCAAATGTCAGTTGATAGGGAAAACAGGACTTTCAACAGTTTCAAAAATATGATCCTTTTTTAATTTTGTCAACATTTGACTTGGCAAAATAAGGTCCTACCGAGACTTGAACTCGGATCGCTGGATTCAGAGTCCAGAGTGCTAACCATTACACCATGGGACCACTGGGGCATTATCACATTAATTACTATTCTAAGATGCCACTGTTAGGATTCTCACTCGGATTTAAAGTGTTATCGGAACTGTATAAACCTCTTCCATTGTCTTTTGTAGATGAAACTGAGTGCCGGGGCAGGCAAATGATAGAACCAATACGATGATTGTTCCAAAATTTTGCTAAAAAGGTAACTTACCCTGATTTGATTCAAACACTCCCAGCACTATATTTCTGTTATCTTGTTATAAGGGCAACTGAACAAAGCAAATTACAACTAAGAAACTGAGAAAAAAAAAATTAATTCACTTGAACCCAGGTCCCACTGAGATTTGAACTTGGATCGCTGGATTCAGAGTTCAGAGTGCTAACCATTACACCATGGGACCAGCCACAGCATTGAATCTTCAATACATTCATAGTGGTTTTTGGCTTGTACCGACATGATTTATTCGATAATGTCACTTTCAGAGCCTTCTCATCGCTAATCATTTGGTTTTATTATCTGGTAGGTTTAAGCAACAGACTGCTCTTTCTATCAGTTTACCGGCGTGATAAGAGGGTCTGATTGGGGTTCAGATAACCAATCAATGACAAAGAACGAAAACTATTCATTCTTATTAACCGAGCGGGAGGTCCGTATGGGAGAATCTTAACCGAGGTCGCCAGTACAGACCGAACGCAGTGAGGTCTGTACCAGCGACCGAAGTCAAGATTCTCCCATACAGACCGACCTAGCTCGGTTAACAAGATGTTTATTATATGGCTGTGTCTTATATGCCAATTTTTTATATTCTTTGTACCTTTTTTTTCTAGACCGGTCTAGTTGCCGGTCTAGATGGGAAAATCTAGACCACATTCAATATCGATTTCAGCCGATCAAACTCGTGAATTCTGTAGTTCCCAGTCCGTGTGAGACACAGCCATATGGTCCGACATTGATATTTGTATTCAGAAAGAAGAGCATTCTACCTCAGTTGGTAGCCACTTTAAATTTGAGACTCATTTAATTATAGAATTTCCTGTCATCAACTTAATATGGTTAGGAGCACGGCCTCACTTCCAGGACAGCGTCCAATATTTGAGCCCACGAATTACCTAACAAATATATAAATTATTAACTTGCATTTTTTTTTATCCCTAACTGAGATTTACCCACTACCGTGAAAGATTTAAAAAATGGCAGATTCTCATGTCCCCTTCATGATAACAATCCCGCATCTCGCCCTCTTCTTACTCTAAATTCCCGGATCCCGGCCTTCAAATAAGCCCAATCACAGATCCCAAAAGACCTATTGTGGACACTAGAACATTCGGGCTTGCTACTTTGCGGACATGCAATGAAAGCAACCAAAATAATATAAGTTATGAAGGTTTTCCTTATCCAGGCCTTACTTTCTAATGGTGCTACTGCAAAGAAAAACTTCGAATGATCCATATATACAATAGGGACTTTAAACGGTCAGGAGGGCTACGCCCTCGATTATTAGATTCATAATTCTAGGAAAAATTCTGCGAAATGGCTGTTACCGACTCATACAGCGCCACACCTCGACTTCAGCATAGCATTTGTGAGCAGCGTTGGGTTCCAAATGGAAACATAAATAATTTGCCGTCGGTGTTCCAGTTTTCAGATCATGCAAATTTTGGTGATTTCGCGTTTTCGATTTGCAGAGTAAGGCTAAGAAATGTGTGTGTGTGTTGTTGGCTTGACTTCGCGAACGAAGATTAAAAAGGTTGTCCACGTTGACGTCGGCTGCAGGCACGTTCGTGGCTGACCAGACTGATGCGGGAAAGGCAGGTCCGCGGGCAGTATCTGCAGAGAAAGGTGATGTCAGGAGTGAAGGTGGAGGCGGAGCGGGCCTTCCTCCTCTGCCAATTGTCTTTAAGTACCTCACGTCTATCCTCCTCAAATTGAGCGGTGGCTTCGTTGATTGTGTGGCGCCAGGTACCACGGTCTGTAGCCAGATCAGACAACTTTTTGTGGTCGATGTTGCAGGTGCTGAGTGACTTCTTTAGGCTGTCCTTGAACCTCTTCTTTGGAGCCCCTCTCTCACGATGTCCGGTTGAGAGTTCACCGTACATGACAATCTTAGGTAGGCGGTGGTCTTCCATTCGGGAAACATGACCAGCCCATCGGAGCTGTTGCTTCAGGATCGTGGCTTCAATGCTGGGAATCTCGGCCTATTCCAGGACTTCGACATTGGTGTTGAAATCAAACCATGGGCGGATCCAGGAATTTTTTGGTCCAAACTTTGGTTCAGAAAGGACTGCTGGAATCTTTTAAGGCAGATTACTTCTCTCCCACATCCCCCACACCCCCTCCCACCAGTCGCGGTTGCACGTTATAATGCGGCCTTGGCCGCTTACCGTTTACTTGGATTCATTAGAAAAATCAGCCAGTTAAAAATTGATATACGATCCTGTCGATGTAAGAATTTCAGTCTCAAAGTTGTAAGCGTCAGGTCTGATAGGGGGAGTCCGGAACCCCCGGACCCTCCCGCTGGATCCGCCACTGCACACCATGAGAAGACACAAATGGCTTCTACTGTAAGTATCCCGGAGAGCTCCACACAATTTCTTCTAATTTTATTATAAGGAATTGTATGGAGCTTTTTCAGCGTTAGTCGAGGCGCGGCGGGTGTTGTCACGTATAATCCTTACGAGGTGTTTTTCCCGACGCTCTTCTGACAGAAGAATGTCACATAATGAAAGCAAACCAGAAACGACTGAGGAACAACTACGGCTTGCACATGTCATCAAGTTGATTAAAACGAGGATTGAATTTCCTGCACATCAACAGCTCATTTGTATTTCGAAAATAGATCAGTTATGTCGGGAGTTGTGAAGGATTTTGAAGATAAAGAAAAACGAAAAGAGCGAGTTATCAAAATATGAAAAAACACTCCAGAAGAAAGAAACAGACAGAGAAAAGAATGGAGAAAGAGGAAACAAGGGAAGCAAATGCCAAAATCAACGAATAAAAATGTTGAACTAAAATCATTCAACCGCGAAGCAAATGACTTGGTGCCATGTACTTCTGAGGCAAAGGAAAAGAAGCCACGTCCTTCCACCAATATCGATCTTGAGCCAGAAAATGTCGAGAAACCCCGTTTCCTCGCGCTTAAATCAGGCAGTAGAGGGAAGAAAGTGGACTTGGGTGTATGCTCAAGAGCTGCTAACTTAAAGATGATTCAAATGACTGTTGGTGCCGACGGAATTGTCTCGCAGAAACCTCGCGAGAAACGTCATCAAACCTTTTTAATTGCGAAAAAACCACAGCGACTAATGGATCCAAATTTGAATCCTAAGAACTTAGGCCAGAGAACATTGAACACTTTTCTAAAAATCCAGTTAGCAGTGGAAGCTTTGGACAGTGTTTTCTCGGCCGCTATCGAAGCATCGAAGTTATTTTCAAGCAAATGGCTCGCAATGAAACGTCAGAGGATAAAGAATGAACAAGAAGAGATACACTCTACGAAACAAAGGTTGCTTCTGCTTTGGGGACCATCCAAATCTACCCATGATTTTTGGTTTTGTTACAAAAGGCCTCACCATTATGTCTTGTGACTCATGGTGTTCAGCAAGAAAGTGTAACTCTCCATCAAGCGGCCGATAACAACGTAGTTACTAAAGCAAACTGTATTTCTATATTTCAAAAGATATGTAGTGCCTTAGACCACGTACATTCTAAAGGATACCTTCACAACGGTATAAAAGGAAATAATGTTATCCTTGGGTTTCACCCACCTGACCAATACCTTAGCAACGGTTACTATCCGCCATCTTGGTGTCCCTCGAGCGTAAACAAACCGTATCTAACGAAGAGTTCATGTGAGAAAGAAGGGATAGTTTTATGCATTGTTGTTGGCTGTTCGAGCAAAAGTGGAAAGCATAAAGACTAAGGATTTTTTCGTATAATAATTTAATAATTTTATTATTTCTATAGCGCAAAATTAATTAGATATATGATCTAATGCGCTATACCTAAGATCATTACAAATCAAGGGGAAGAACAGGAGGAACTAAAAGTTGTTGTATGGTTCGAGGCTTGCGGCTGTTGTAGATCC